AACAAGAACTGGGTAGCCAACAGAGTTTGCGAACTTCTTCGCATCCTCGTATGAGGTAAGCTCCTTCCAGGCGGGCTGGTCAACACCGATTGAATCCAAGATAGAAGAGAACTTGTGGCGATCTTCGGCCTTGTCAATATCGTGAGGGTCCGTTCCCAAGACTTTAGCCTTGCCAGACTACAGTTGTGGAGATGCGAAGTTAGTGTATGTTTCACATGCATTTCGTACAGTCATAGCTCACCTCCTGAAGCTTGAGAGCAATGTTCTGGGGGAGTTGACCACCAACAGAAACAACAACTCCGCTGGCAGTCTCCAGCTCGTAGATATCCATGACACGCTCGTAGCTGAGCTCCTCGAAGTACAGCTTGTCGGCAACGTCGAAGTCAGTCTGAACACATGTTAGTCAAGGTTCAATGGAGGCATTGATGTTGCTTACAGAGTATGTCTCGGGGTTGTAGTTGATCATGACAGTCTTCTTTCCGAGGGCGTTGAGGGAGCGGGTAGCGTTGACAGCACACCAATCGAATTCGACTGAGCTGCCAATCCTGTACACACCAGAACCAAGCACAAGTATGCCATGGTCGTCGAAGGTGACGTCGTGGGATGAGGCGTTGTAGGTGGTCTAAGACTATATGTTAGCGACTACAAGGGAGCGAAAAGAGATTGCCACAATGACAATACAAGGTCATGGAGGTTGTCGCAGGTCTCGGGATTTTGAATCTTAATTCCGCGAGAGCTCTCCGGCCTCGCAGAACCACCGCAAAGAATAATATGGCAGCATCAACTGGACGGTGACCAAAGTCGGTGCTGGTGATTGTAGTAAAGGAAATGGTGGGGGAAAAGAAAAAAAGATGATGTACTTACGTAGAGGTAGTCTGTGAAATGTTAGCAAAACTCATCAATGAAGGGAAGGGCATAATCTTACTAGTATCGGCAGGGAACTCAGCGGCCAGAGTGTCGATTTTTTTCACCCAAGGCTTGATACCAAAGCTCTTCCTGCGTGCGCGGACCTCGTCCTCAGTGCTGTTGACAGCCTTGGCGATCTGCTTGTCAGAGAAACCGAGCTTCTTGGCCTTGAGGATAATCTCCTTCTTGAGTCCGAACAAGCTGCCTATCTCCTCAAGCTCATGTGTGAGATCGACGATGTTCTGAAGCTTGTGCAAGAACCACTTGTCAATCTTAGTAAGGTCATGGACCCTGTCGACAGTGTAGCCTTCGTGGAACAGCGCCTGACCAACGGCAAGCCATCGGCGATCGGTGGGGTTCTTGAGTTCCTCGTCAAGGTTCTCTCCGTACTTCTCGCCCTGGAACCCAAGGTACTTGGGGTCGACTTGACGGCAAGCCTTCTGGAATGACTCCTCGAATGTGCGACCGATAGCCATAACCTCGCCGACTGACTTCATGGAACTGCCGATGTCGCGCTTGACGTTCTGGAACTTGCTAAGATCCCATCGAGGCATCTTGGTGACGACGTAATCCAAAGAGGGTTCAAAGTTTGCAGTGGTGGTCTTAGTGACGGCGTTGGGCAGCTCGGGGAGGGTGTGTCCGAGACCGATCTTTGCTGCAGTGTACGCCAGAGGGTATCCAGTTGCCTTGGATGCCAATGCAGATGAACGAGAGAGACGGGCGTTGACTTCGATGACCCTGTAGTCGAGGCCATCAGGCTGTAGGCAGTATTGCACATTGCACTCGCCAACGACTCCCAAATGACGGACGATCTTGATGGACGCAGACCGGAGCATGTGGTATTCCTCGTCGCTGAATGTCTGACTTGGCGAGACAACGATACTGTCACCAGTGTGTACACCAAGAGGATCGAAGTTCTCCATGTTGCAGACTGTGATGCAGTTATCGCTGGCGTCACGGACGACCTCATACTCGGCCTCCTTCCAGCCCTTGAGAGACTTCTCAACCAAGATTTGAGGTGACAGTGTGAGCGAACGGGCTGACAGATTCTTCAGCTCCTCCGGGTTGTTTGCGAAACCCGAACCGAGACCACCGAGCGCATACGCGGCGCGAACGATGATAGGGTATCCGACCTTCTCGGCCGCGTCGAGTGCTTCGTCGACAGTGGAAACAGCAATCGACTTGGCGATGGGAATATTGATCTCATCAAGAGCGCGCGCAAAGAGATCACGGTCCTCACTGGTCTTCAGAGTCTGAACGCTAGTTCCGAGCACCTTGACACCATACTTCTCGAAAATGCCCTTGGCATCCATTTGTACACCCAAGTTCAGCGCAGTCTGTCCACCGAAGCTGAGGAAAATGCCATCAGGCTTCTCCTTCTGAATGACATATTCGGCGTATTCGGGTGTTACAGGCAGGTAGTAAATTTCGTCGGCGAGCACGTGGGACGTTTGGATGGTAGCAATATTGGGGTTGAGAAGGACGGATTTGACGCCAGCTTCCTTGAGGGCCTTGAGTGCTTGTGAACCTGATGAATCGTGAGTATGGCACAAATTTACATGGGCACGAGTGCTTACCTGAGTAGTCAAACTCTCCGGCTTGACCAATGCTGAGACCACCACTACCAATGACTAGGACTTTCTTGACATCAACAAGGTCCTGCGCGCCGGAAATGACGCCGCTCTTCAGGTATGCCTCTGCATTGGGTGCGGTCTGTGTCTTGTTAAATGCGGACGCGACCTTTGTGAATGCCCGCAGCTGTCGGAGAGCGGCAGGTGACTCAGTGCTGGAGCGGAGCGAAGTCAACGGCCGAGCACTTCGGGTTGTGAAACTTCGAGAGTATGTGGAAGGTGCAATAGAGCGAGTATGACCTGTAAGGGAAGGTACGCGACGTGCTAGACGCCCGCAGAGAGCCATTTGCAGGCAGTCAAGCAATTGAAGAGCGTCGAGCGCGACAAAAGATGGAGATGGAGGATGAGGCGTCGAACGCGCGGGAAGAAGGTCGCTCGGTGGCCGACAGGTGCAATTGAAGGGCTATAGCTCGACCCAGTTGAGCAGAGCACGAATGACTCCCTCAGGGTTTATGTATAATCTGTGGGGAAGCTGTGATGCGGCAGCCAAAAAATTCCAATGATGCGCGACGGGCCAATTAAGCTATCTCCGATAACGCACAGATAAGACCGTCGGCGATCCTTGAAGACGCGATGGATGAAGGGTAGTATCCAGTCATTTGCATTTACTCTCTCTCTTATACAATGCATTTCTCAAGATTTGACTCACGCAAGACGTGCGATCTAGTCATGGGTAGGTCCGATGCAGTTGCAACATTCACAGTTGTTTCCAGCTCGTCGTGGAGAACATCGATGCGGAGGACCGATTACGGCGCCGAAACTCAGATCCCCAGCATCTGACACAAATGAGAAGAAATTTTGACATGGTCGCGCAGAGCTTTCTCAATGGGTACAGTCACACGGGAGCTAACTATTGCATCTGTGCGCTGCGGGTACCAGGGCATTACTACTTTCAGTACCATGTGCACCTTTTTAGTAGTCATAAATCCCTTTGAGGACTCGCAACATGAATCGCGACTCTCACATATACACATTCGGTCGAAGAGCCAGTCGACGACCTGTATATGGGAGGATGCTTGCTTTGCAGTCACTATATTCAAGTACCCCGAAGATGCCAATAATCATAAATGCCAATACGCTAATTCGCTTTGTGGGGTCTTCGGACCGTTGGTGACTCTTCATAGCTTGGACCGGCACGATGAACAAGGCTGGCGCTTTCCTGCCTCGATCGCAGCACTTGTCTGCTTCTGCACATGAGCAGCGGTCTGGCAGCTCCTCTCGCCGAACTTCTTCATCCAGCCTTCTTTGCCTTGTCCGCTGCGTTATGTCGATTTTTGTATTCGCGTGGGCTCTCCAGTGTCTTACTGCTTGTGCCTACCAACCTTTGTGCAAAGCTCGGCTTCGCCCACATCCCAACTTTGCTCTCACGAGCCTTCTTTTCCGCAGCGCGATATTTTTCTTCAGCAGTACCAAATTCGGCACCTGTTTTGGCCTCGTATACTGTAGCCAAGCCAGCCTTCAACATCTCCAGCCCCACATCTTTCTTGAAGAACCATCTGCGTACAAAGACTTGGGCTACTATACGATCGTACTGGTCGCGTCTGTATATGTATGCGCGTACTCGGCGGGTGTGGATCAAATTGATGAGCCATTCATGGGCCTCCTTCGCGAACGGTTGAGCTTCTCGGCCCCAGTGTGCAAGTTCTGGTGCGTCGACTCCAGCAATCCGGATGTGAAGCTGGGCATAAAGTCAGCCATTCATTGGGTGCAATATTTCCACCACAACGCCTAGTGTCTTCTTATTCTAGAGTACTTACTGTTTGCCTGACCAAGTCCTCTCTTTTCGTTGGTACTTTCTTCCAGGGCAGGATACCCCACCCAGCTATTCTCCCACCTGGCGTGTGGAACAGCCTGAAATTGTCTGCATCTCCTACACTTGTGACCTGGCCAAATATACCCTTCCGACGGTAGTAGCGTGGTTTGATATGGTTGACGGTTGGTATGCGACGCAAATAAGTCTTGTAGAGCCGGACACCAGCAACTGTTGAGACTGTAAGAGCGACAGCCGGAATCAAAGTCCGTGGCTCATACAGCGTGCTTGACCAATTGTCCAACTTCGCTGGAGGGGCCCATTGAGGCAGTCCGCTTTTCTGTTGGTCATCGTCGTTGCGTGACCAAGGCCATCGCATTGTCTATTGTGCGAGGTCGTGAGTTGAAAAAGTGAAGTCAGAAGACGGTGTGCTCCAATGTTGGCAATCGGCGCGACACAATCGCCTCGGCATACGAAGTGTTCCAAGTTAGCGTCGACAAAACGTACCACGTGATTATCATAGGTTATCTAGGGTTTCATAATCATGTCTCACGACTCTGAACGACTTGGGGGCAAATGTACACTCGATATTTTTGTAATGACTTATACGGTTTTTCAGTAAGCTTGGAAAATGACAGGTATTCAAGGTCCAAAATGCTCAGCTAGCTTTTAAACAAGAGCTGCAAAACTGTGGTGTACCACAGTAGCCGCATACTCTCCTCTAAGCACATATGCTTGCTCTAATATCGTATGTTCTAAATCACTAGAGAGGCAGCCAGGAGTTGTGCTAGCAAGGCCCAACTGCCCTGACTTGTTGTGGAGCGCCTATTGTCGGCCTCGAAGTATGCCATCCGCGTTAGAGACCATCATGATCCATATGACACCCTTCTGGGTGTGCATTGGTCGACACATAGATCTACAAACAAGCAGATGGCGTCTTCGATGGTATCTTTGTAGCCTATAGCGCGCTGAAGAGCGTTGAAATGTGATATTGAAAAGTCGAAGGATAGCGACTCGCATAGACGGTGTAGATGTTGAGTTTCGGTTGATACGTGCGATGCAGTCGCATTTCCGACTTCAGATTGGGAGAGGCTTGCGCAGGAGTTCATGCAGATAGATGGCTTCTGAGATTCTGTGTGTCTTTATCAGTCCTGATCTAACCAAAGTGATACATGCATATCGAAGATGAACCTACCGTATACCACTATCCGTCCTCATGTGTCTTTCTGTCAGCTGCACGGTTCGCTGCGGCAGATGAACCTTACCTCACAACGCGCAATAGGATGAACGAAGATATGTGCTACACAATCGAGAGCCCAAAGCCATGCTACGAGACTGCCGACGCAGCAAGAGGAGAGAATGCGTATGCCTCGCACGACGCACAGACCCACATGGAAGGCCTTTGAGATGGAGACGTGGGTGGTCTCGAGCTGGTCATCGCAATGGGTTGTAGTACTGCTCGCTTCCGTAAGAGCGGGGTCGGCTTGCAGATGTCGGCGCTTCCTAGATGCCAAGCTACACATTAACAATAAGATCTTTGTACGTGTCCGCCATCGCCATGATGGATGGAAGATGGATGCTCAGACGTGGTCGGGAGAGGGATGAAGTCAGGAACGACGGGGTTGGCTTAGACGGAGTTTGCCTAGGCGGGTATGGTGCGTTTCTTTTCGTGCTTCGACCTCCACAAGTCTGGGCATCAGTCTATCGTCTACCTGCACCCTGCCACCCCCATCGCTACAACTTCAACCGAACCTCTCATGCTTTCGCAACAAACTTCACTCGTTATACATACTGACAATCTTAGTGGAATTGTGGCCGACTACTGACTGCGGCCTGTAGCCGCTTCCTTGTCAGGTGCCTCCCATCTTCCCTCACCACATCTTCATCAACATGTTCAACATCGAATCCACAGCCGATCCTACCGCACTCGATGACGGAACCTATCTCTTCGACCAAACTCACGATGATCTCCTATCGATGCCAATGTCCAATGATAGTATACATCTGAAAGGCGGCATCACACCTATACCTGGGTTTAGTAACTTGGGCTACGGCCGGGAATCGAGTGCATCGTCCGTGCACTACGGCGATTCTCACGATACATCGGAACTGGGTACAAGTCACGAGGGAGAAGGGTCTACCCCAAGCGCTTTCGTTAATGGATATGGGACCAACTATACTCCTTCGCCACTGCAAAAACCATTCACACCAAACTCAGCCATCAACGGCATGACTAATACCCAGAACAAACAAATGTCGCATCTGAACGACGACAATTCGCATGCGATTCCTGACGGAAACGACGCGAAACCCCATCTATCATTAAGGAACCATCGAGGGGATGCTGCATTCATGGCAAGAACACCACAAAGCCTGAGTCGCGCATCACAATCATCTTCAACTCCTGAGCTCCCACAGCCGCACGAGCAACAGAAGAAGCATCGGAGAACAAATTCGCTCCCGGCAAAAGGGAAAGTCAACGAGATGAAGGCAAATTCAAGCATACCTGCAGAGCTCTCGTGGCCGGAGTTTGGCCGACAGTGCATTCTAGCAGCGGAGAACAGCCGGCTGAATCCGTTCACCTTACATCCTGCTGAGTACAAGTTGTTACGAGAACATGTAACTCACGCCCAGGTCACCATCTATTTGAACATCAGGAATGCGATACTTCGGCTATGGCATCGTAATCCTCTGGTGTATGTCTCTCTCGAAGAAGCTGCAGGATGCGCCCGCGACAGGCGCCATTTCGGTCTAGCAAGGGTAGCATATCTATGGCTTATGCGGAACGGCTATATCAATTTCGGATGTGCTGAAGTACCTGACACTACCGGTACACTCCCAAAATCGAAGGTTAAAGTCGCACGCAGACGTTCAATCATTGTGGTCGGTGCGGGTATGTCAGGATTAGGATGCGCTCGCCATCTGGAAGGATTGTTCGCCCAGCTAGGTGATCAATTAACAGAAGCGGGCGAACTTCCACCGAAGATCACAATACTAGAAGCTCGTCCGCGTGTTGGTGGCCGGGTTTACTCGCATCCTTTTCTCAATCAGCTCAGCTCAACGCTCCCTCCTGGACATCGTTGTACAGCTGAGATGGGCGCCCAGATCGTCACCGGATTCGAGCACGGCAACCCGTTGAACGCGATCATCCGAGGTCAGCTCGGTATACCCTACCATGGCCTCCGCGATAACACTATACTATACGACTACGATGGGACGGTGGTGGAGAGAAGCCAGGACATCCTGGTGGAGAAGCTGTACAATGATGTTTTGGAAAGAGCGGCAGTATATCGGAACAAGCCAGCGGCTCATAGGACAGTGGAGGGTGATCGTAACTTGATGGCCTTTGGTCGTGAGCCAGCCGATGTCGATGGGCCTACTGTTGCTGAGCTAGAACATTCTGATGCTCCTTTGGCCGCAAATGCTACGAGCACAGCGTCAACGAAGCAAGAAAAACCAACAACGGGGGTAGAGAAGCTAGCGGGCAGGGCATACCAGCTCAGCGCAGGCTTCAACCCGGATGTTACGGCAGCTGAAACGGTCCAAAGTATGGGTTGGGAGCTCAAAGCGGGTGCATCGAAGATGCAGTCTTTAGATCTCGATACGATTGCGAGAGCATCCGAGTATCCCACACTTGGACAGACAATGGACGAAGGTCTCCTTCAGTATCAATCACTGGTTGATCTCAAGCCCAGAGACATGCGTTTGTTGAGTTGGCATCACGCCAATCTCGAATATGCGAATGCTGTTAGCGTCAACCAGCTTAGTCTAAGCGGCTGGGATCAGGATATTGGCAATGAATTCGAGGGCGAACATAGTGAAGTAATAGGAGGCTACCAACAAGTCCCGCGCGGTCTATGGCAATGTCCCAATCGATTGGATGTCCGCTTTAGCACCCCCATCAAAGCCGTTCATTACAATACCGACGGACAGCATAAAGGCAAAGCTGTTAGAATTGAGTGCGCAAACGGCGAGTTTTACGAGGCCGACCAGGTCGTTCTGACCACCCCTCTGGGAGTGCTGAAGTCTGGATCGATCAAGTTCGAACCTCCTCTCCCTGACTGGAAGCAGGACGTTATAGAACGAATGGGTTTTGGTCTCCTCAACAAGGTCAGTTCAACTGTTCAGTCATTGCTGCCCCTTCTGACAACATACGTAGATTGTTCTGGTGTACGAAAAAGCCTTCTGGGAGCCAGACCGAGACATGTTCGGCCTGCTCAACAAAGCAGAAGACGAAGCCAGCATGCAACCCGAAGACTACTCCGCCAAACGTGGACGGTTCTATCTCTTCTGGAACTGTATAAAGACGAGCGGAAAGCCAGTGCTGATAGCGCTAATGGCAGGCGACGCTGCTCACTACGCCGAAGCGACATCGAACGATCAGCTCGTCAAAGAGGTTACGGACCGGCTCGATGCGATGTTCGCACCGAACCACGTTCCCCTGCCGTCAGAAGCGATTGTAACGCGGTGGAAGAGAGACCCATTTGCTCGAGGCAGTTACTCATATGTTGGGCCAAAGACACAGGCAGGTGACTACGATGTGATGGCGCGGCCACATGGCCCACTGCACTTCGCTGGTGAAGCGACTTGTGGCACACATCCCGCAACGGTGCACGGCGCGTACCTATCAGGCCTCCGGGTCGCTGCAGAGGTTGCTGAGACAATTTTGGGGCCCATCAAGATACCAAGTCCACTCGTTGAGAAGAAGGTGATCAAAGTAGAACAATCTCCAGCGACACCCAGCATAGAAACGAAGCGCCGATTCGAGCCCGCCGTTACAACATCAACACCAAGAGAGGACAAATCTGGGCGGGTACAACGCGACGAAGACTACGAAGCTGCTATCATAGGGGCTATTCTAGACCAAATTGGTGAACGTCCGATCAAGCCAGGACGTACAGGTGTCAACCCGTTCCTACTGTTCACCAAAGACTTCTGGTACATCTGCAAGCAGGAGTGCGATGACGCTCACAAAGCGAGGACAGGCAACCCCGAGGCCAAAGCACCGAAACAGGAGATTCGTAATGCAGTTGGCTTGAGGTGGCGCACAGCAGAGCAAGAAGTCAAACAGCCGTACCTGGACCAAGCCAGTACTGCACGAGACGACGCGACGGCGAGCACAGCAGACTTCAAAGAACGCGTAGATACGTGGGACAAGGAAGCTGCACGCATACGGCGCGAATACATTCAGGCCAACCCTCCAGAGGGTGGCAACGAAGAGCTCATTCTCAACAGTCGCACGGCCATTGAGCTGGGGGCTGGCAAGCGACTGCGGAGATTATGAGGCTGCTGTTGTGGCGACGTTCTTTTGTTGCATTCATTCATGTGTTATATCTGTATGCTGGGCGCCATATCCCCGGTGTTTGTGTAGTTTTTTTCTTTCTATGGTTTGCATGGAAGCTGCGATGGAGTTCGGGTAAAAGGGTGAATGAGAAGTCGCGTGGCTATTTGCAGCGGCAGGCGCACACGAACACATACCCGCCCTCCGAGGCTTTTCTGTAGAGCGATGGCGTCTCGCGGATGTCTGCTTTCTGTAGTATGTCTCGGACAGTAATACAAGTCTAGTGGATAATGTCACGCGTGACTTGGGCCTTGCCCAGCGCTACTTGGGACACACTCTCGTCCGGACCCACCACGCTGACGCGCTGTCCGAGATGCAAGCCGCATGCGGGGGATGTGTGCCGTGCGTGCAGCGTAATACGGGAAGGTGGCCGCTGGTCGAGAGGGGCTTGAGATTTGGAAGCCAGCAAATGTGAGATGGAGCTGGCGGGCAACAGAAGAGATTTGCTGGCGGGCAGCAGCTGTCGTGGTGCTCTGGACTCGCACAGTGCATGTCACAACCACAATACGGGAAGACGCTAGAAGACGTTCGTCCGTTCTCCAATGGCGATCTCTACGAGGGCCGCCAACAAGCGCCACGGTTGCTTGCCAGTCTTGTTCTAGAAGCGCGGCGCATGACTGGTGGGAGTTTAGCCTCGCCGCAGCAGCATGCATGGCGGTTGAGCGTGTTGTTGCTCGCCAGGCACCGGGCTGGCTGGGCACAGAGTCGGGAAGCGTGTGCTGCTCAGCATGGCCGCCGGATCATGGAATGGCGAGTGTTGTTCTATGCATGTTCTTCGGTATAGAGCCCCACCAGGCGGGCAACACAATTCGCCAGCAATGGATGGAACCTGTGGCTTCGGCGCGTTAGTCCCGAGCGGTTCCTCGTTGGCGGGGTCGCGTGTGCCAGGTCGTGGGGATCTCTCGGCCTCTCTCATGGGGCCTCTAGTCGCGTTAGCTATCCCAAACAGCAAAGCCTCGCCTCGCCTTGGTCCGCTCCGGCTCTGCTTCCCCAACGTGCCAGCCTTCCAAGCCGCTGTTGCGTGAATTGCTGCATCCTTCACTCCTCCAAGCTCGCAAAGGCCTCCATGTTGCCCTTCGCTCCTGACATCTCTCTGGGCCCGCACCCAGCACCTGCTTCCCCGACACGTTCCCACGACCGTGCCCCCGTCGCCTGAAGTGCCGTCGCATTAGTCCTCCTCCATCGTCTGCACCCCACCCTTCCCTGCTTGCGCACTACACCCCAGCCATGAGTTCCTTTTTCAGTCGCATCAAGTCTGGTGCTGTAAGTCCCCAAGAGCGACCCAGAGTCGCGCGCGTCCGTCGCCAATGGCTGCCACTGACACGTCTGTCCACAGCCACCCTTGAGCCCAGCGACCGGCAGCATACCCGTCAAGAAGGACCCCAACGCGCCCGAGGTCACGCCGCTCGAGAAGCTGCTCCTCAACGCCGGCCCTCTGCGCGGCGACGGCAGCGACAAGTTCTTCGGCTTCGAGAATGTAAGTCCGCCTGCCTGATGCCGCACTCGTCAAAGTCCGCCTGCTGACCACGCCCTGCTCTAGTTTGGAAGCACGTGGTATGCATCCGCCTCGCCCACTCCCGCTTCAACCCATGCTGACTGACTGTCTGCCCACCAGCTACTGCAACTCCATAGTACAGTGTCTCTACTACTCGGTACCCTTCCGAGAACAGGTCATCAACTTCCCCGCCCGCTCGCCCCCAGAAGCCCTCGAGAGGCCCTCATCAGGCCTGCCCAGACTCAATACAAACCTCCAAAATGGCCAGACTTCAGCCCTCTCCCCCACGGGCCGCACATCGCTCTCCAGCCCAAATGCGAGAAGTCCCGCAAAGCCTGCAACCACTCCAGGCGCCACCAACCAGCCTCCAGGCACCAAGCCCGAGGACAACAAGGACTCGCCCGAGTACAAGAAGAAGCAGGCCTTGGCCGCTGGCCCTGTGCTACAGATGGACTACGAGAACGCAAACGCATATGGCATGAACGAATCGCTGTTTTCATCACTAAAAGACATATTCGAAGCTGTAATAGCACACAGGTCGCGCATAGGCGTAGTCAGCCCACACAAGCTTCTGGAGATACTGCGGCGAGACAATGAGATGTTCCGGACGCCCATGCACCAGGACGCACACGAGTTCCTCAACTTGCTGCTCAACGAAGTTGTAGAGAACGTTGAGCATTATTCCAAGACCCGCCCAGCTCAGGTCGAGGACGTAACTGAGAACGAGGAGACAATGACCGACGGCGAAGTTGTGACCGCGCGAAACTCAGTGGCCTCTGCAAAGTCGAATTCCGGATGGGTACATGAACTGTTCGAAGGCACATTAACATCCGAGACACGATGTCTCACATGCGAAAATACCTCGCAGCGAGACGAGGCATTCCTGGACCTCTCTGTCGATCTGGAACAGCATTCTTCCGTGACGAGCTGTTTGCGCAAGTTCTCAGAAGAAGAGATGTTATGTGAGCGGAACAAATTCCATTGCGACAACTGCGGAGGCCTGCAAGAGGCGGAGAAGAGGATGAAGATTAAGCGGTTACCCAAGATTCTTGCTTTACATCTCAAGCGCTTCAAGTACACGGAGGATCTCCAGCGACTGCAGAAGCTCTTCCATCGCGTTGTGTATCCCTTTTACCTCCGGCTGTTCAACACCACCGACGATGCAGAAGACCCAGATAGGCTATACGAGCTTTATGCAGTAGTGGTCCACATAGGAGGTGGTCCCTATCATGGTCACTACGTATCCATCATCAAGACACAAGATCGAGGCTGGTTACTCTTTGACGATGAAATGGTTGAGCCGGTTGACAAGGCCTATGTCAGGAACTTCTTTGGTGGAGAGAATGTCTTGGCTTGCGCCTATGTCTTGTTCTACCAAGAGACAACAGAAGAAGCCATGATGAAGGAGCAAGAAGCCGACGCCCTAGCCGCAGCAGAGCAAGCCGCCAAAATGACACAGGAAGAAGTCACAACACCGAAAGCGAATGGTGCCAACGGTCAGGCATATCATGCTTTCAACAACGCAACGACACCTACATTGGAAGAGGCCGACAAATTCGCGAGCCTCGATCACGCAGCTACCGCTCCGCCACTTGCCCACGTTGAAACGAACACCGACCATCACCCAGTCGAACATACCACAACACAAGTACCTGTCCTCGGTGCGCGGAAAAGTAACCTTGGGCTCTTTGGTAAAGGCAAAGAAGAGAAGGAGCGCAAGGCTCAAGAAAAGGAGCTTGAGAAGCAAGCGAAGCAAAAACGCAAAGAGATGGAAATCCAACGACGCGAAAACTACCGCAAACAAGAAGACGAACTTCGTGCAGCACTCGAAGCTAGCAAAGCATCAGCGGTGGAAGAGGAGAAGAAGCGCGTTGCGAGTGGCGAGGTGCCACCTCCCACAACTGCTGGTGCGGGAGGCGACAAAGAGAAAGCGGCGAACGGCTTTGGAAGCGTCAAGGGTATGAGCGGATTGAGTCGTTTTAGGCATACCTCGATGAGTCTCAAAGGCAAACCCAAGTTCTGGGGTAAGGACAAGCAAGACGACGAGCCCAATCCGCCCGATACACCGACCACAGACACGGACAAGGACGGCAAGAACCGTTTCAGCTTAGGAAGGAAGAAGAGCACGTTCAAATTCTAGGAAAACTTGTCGCCGTAGAACAGGATGTTGTTACATTGCAAGATGCGGGTCCGAGTATCAGTCTTGGATTGTCAAACAGGGTGGCTTTTGAAGCTAGCCCTTCCGATAGAGTGAAAACTGGAGGAACAGTCTTCCTACCGAAGCGTTGGAGATGCATGTATGTTGCATGGTTATTCTTTTCTTTCCTCAAGGCTTGACGAAGGCGTTGTAATTACTACCCTCAAGGATGGGTGGTGTGTTGTGCATATCAACTTCGGATATTCGTTGTTATAGCGTACTCGTTTAGCTTAGCAGAACTGCGAGTGTGACAGAATAGTGAATTGTACAGCTTCTCAATGGATCGCGGCCATCTCTCAGCTTCGAGCTATTATATTGGGTTCCCTTTAGAGTCAGCTTAACTTCACGTTCACATTCAGTTCATCCTGCTTATGGGCCCTTGGGGCAGTTGATGAAAAGGTTTGTTCAGGATTACATTTGGATAGATGACCATGCTGATCCGTATCGAAAGAAGACAAGTCTGTACCTGCTTTTGGCAGACTAGACTGGAAAGTTGAAACGCAGACAACGTTCCGCAGTAAACTAAATGCTCTCAGTGCCCCTTTATAAACGCCCGCTACTACGATCTTCATCGCAACGCACTGTACTCTTACACCACGCATCGACGACACCTGTTCTACCAAGGTCTCTTCTATGAAAACTTCCACCGATTACCACAGTTCATGCACTCGCAAAAGGTCGTCATCGGTTCGTCAGCAGACCTGGTCTGCGCTTGACTGTAGCTGACCATCTTTTGCTTGCATTTTCCGCACTGGAACTCCTTGGAAATGGCCTTTTCGACCTGTGCAACCATGGCCTGATTCATGTTGATCTGTTCCAGCTTCTCGTCTTCTGCTCGTCGCGCGTCCGACTTCATCTCGTCATGTGTCATGACGACGAACTTGTCTGCGGGCACCTCGCCAGCGAGTACACGCTTGCGAAGCTGGGGATTCGATTTGCTCTTGAGATTCTGGAAGAGCGAGCGCATCTTGCCCTTGTAAGTGTCGTTTACACTACCAGCCTTGGCGTAAGCAGCGGCTTCGATTTGCTTTGCGACGCTGAGAATCTCGTCGGGCACTGGGCATGTCAGTCATGTACAAGGCAGTTGGCAAGTTGCTACTTACTCGCTTCACTCATGAAGGCCAGACCGTCGTACATCAGCCTAACGCAGTTGTCGCGCGCCTCATTTCCAGTCACCTGGTACTTGACCTTGTCTGTCTTGTGATTGCGCTTGTCGGCGGGTACATCATGCTTCTTCTTGGCCAGATTTGGTGCCGGAGACGCGGTTCCTGAGGGTGGAGGAGCGGGGGAAGAGGCTGCACCTCCATTCGCGACTGCCTTTGCCGGGCCGTCCTTCTTGGGGGGCTGCTTCTTTTTGACCTCATCCCTCCACTTTGCTACCAATTCTGTTGCGAGCTTTTGTACTGCGGGGTCCTTGTGAGTTCGCAGACGGTTGATAGTGACACCGATTCGTGTTGAGCGCAAGAGGTCCTCGGTCGCGTGCACACCCGTCTTCAGGTCATTAAGCAGCTTCAGCACAGAAGCGCTGGGCTCGCCCTCAGATACAGCCTTTCCGATGGCCTTGCCACGGAGCTCGATCTCTTTGGCGTCCATTGCCATGGTCCAGGCAGTGCTTGTCAAGGTGTAGGGTATCCTGGGCGCGGAGTCGCTGGTGCCTAGGGCAGTCTGTCGCTGTCACGAAGGCAAGTTCTTCCTGGATTGATGTTGCGACTGAGAAGGTCGGGAGGTCGGCGCGGGGTGCTTAGGCGCGTCAGAAGCAGGTATACGCGACGTTGGGGCACGGCAGTCGTTCGGCGACGGTAGGGGAGACGTCGAGGCAGGCAGGCGGCAGGAGGCAAGGAAGCGTGGTGCGATGGCTTGTTTGATTGCCATCTAGAAGTTGCCTTTGCTCGGAGAGGCCCGAGCTCACAGCCGCTAGCCTCCGCCTTCACCAAGGGAAACTGCAACCGTTAACTTGGGAACTGCCAGACTAAAGACCGGCGACGACTGCTGCTGCTACTACTGCTACTACCGCGCCAACTCGTGCCTCTGGTACTACCGACACCCCCCCCCGACGAATCACCATGGCCGAAAACGCGGCCCCAGGAAGCGCAAACAACGCGGGCGCAGACAGCTCGCGCGGCATGCCCTACTACGAGAGGCTACGACGCGACCTGCGCGAATCGCTGAACAAGAAGCGCCTGATCGATAACAACCTGGTCAGTACTGCACGCGACGCGTCATGAGTCTCTGTGAGCCTCTGTGTTGACTCTCATGGCAGCTACAACTCGAAGATAACATCTTGCGAGTCGAGACACAATACCTCGAAGAGACGAGCGCCGGGAATATCATCAAGGGCTTCGATAACTATATCAAGGGCGCAGCAACCACCACGACAGCAGGGGGAGCAGGCACTGCAACCAGGCGCAAGGCTCCCATCAGTGATGCGGACCGCATCTTCAGCCGGAGCTCTACAAGCTTCTTGAGAGTATGTCGAGGAATACCAGGCCGGCTTGCCGATAGCTAGAGATACGATGCTGATTGCTCTACAGGAATCGTCGACGCCAGGCTCTGCGACGCCATCGCACGCTCCTACGCCAACTTCTTCCTTCCCTACGCGCGAGTCGAGTCAACCTACAAACGGCGCGAGACCAGGAGGCAGTAAGAAGAAGAAGGCAGCCGACGATGATGACGAGGACAGCAACAAGACGAAGCGACAGAAGATCTCCTACGGCCGCGAGTGAGAATCCGTCCCGAGACTCCGACACCGCTTGCTTCAAAAGCGGCGGGATACAAAGATCCTGAAATTACAGAGCATTACCAAGGTATCTTGAGGCGAGTAATTCGCTCAAGGTACGATTGCGCGTCCTTATGGGTCCCGAGACACAAAATCTAACAGACCTACCAACAAAATAGGAAGGCACAAAGGAGTCGGTTAGACACCCGAAGCTGCGCGTGTTCAACTTGTGGGTACCTTACAACAGGCACGGGAGAGGTGAAACCGCTGTAGATCGGACTTGTGAACGCGGGGTTGGTTCAATCTCGATATGAGATCCACTTAATAGAGGATAACGTACTACACCACCACCGACGGGCGACAACGCATCTGTGCTGACTAGCCGGCGTTCGTGGTGGAGATTGCTCGATGCTTGACTTGTTGCTTGCTTCGAGTGGTCGGAGGAGTGCTGGTGGAGCGCTGCTCGGCGTCCTGTTACGCGCAAGCCACGTCCGCAGTCTGCTGGCGGCTTCATCTCAGCGAAGCGGAATTCATGCTTGAGGAGGGTTAGTATAGTGGATCAACAAGTACAATGCAAGAATGCAAGTCCCGCTCGTGGCATCCAAAGACTGCGAAGGATTCGTGGCAATCTGGAAATAAACGAAGCGAACTACTTCTTCCCGCGCTTCTTTATGGTACAGTAGCCGCAATGTACAGCAAAAATGAAGTCTCATGGTCATATTGCACATTTACAACCCTTGCCATGAATCGTAGCAGAGACCCTTCTTTTTGTGGGGAAAAAGTTATAACAAGGGTATTAATGCATATTACTCCAAGGCTCATCTGGTTGTATTCGAGAAGGCGCAGGGACGGCCAGGATTGAGATTGTGATGCCAACCACGGTCGGTTAACCTGAGACGATGGCGGAGAACAAAGACGCAGGCGGTGCATGCTGGCATGCTGGCAGGCTGTGGACTTCGCATCCTGGGATATCATGGTATGCAGAACTATAACCCAACGACACAAGTCCGCTTGTGCTAAGACATCCCGCCCTCGCTTCATGGGCTTGTCGGTCCATGCGACTGCTTGAAGATGCGATCGGCGGGGCTTAGTACGGTAGAGCGAAAAGGGCTTCTCCTTTGCGAGACAACAGCCAAAATGCAACACTGGCTTGCATGATGGCTTGCAATTCCGTGTGGTGGCCACAAAGTTTCAAAGACCGAAATAGAGGAGCCGGAGCGGGTGGCAAAAAGACAGCTGTTTAGGAGGCTGGCGGAAATGCTCAATGCTGAGTGGTGCTTCGGCGGTACTGCAAGCTAAATTACAGCTTTCTCCGGGCACCAACACACTGCGCGCGGAAGCCAACAACAAGCGCAACAGAGTCAAGCAGTTTTGCCTCATCACGTTCTCGTAACGCGATATGTTGCCTTGCGTTTCGCGTTGCTGTAAGTCGTCGCGTCCTTATGACGATCTTTTCTCGAAAAAATGGTACGAGTATACAGCCGTCAGGCACGCTACGATCTCATCTCAGGCTCTTTTCGGTCCTTCTCCAGTGTGTGACCCACTCGAACAAGCGACGTCCGTGATTGGTAGCCCTTCGAGTAGCAGAGAAATAACAAGTCCCGCAGCCGACACGACGCAGAAAGAAAGCCCGACGTCAGCACACACGGGCACTTGTGCGTTTTCGAGTGAAACATAATCACATCGTTGCGCCCCGCTCAGCCTCGTACGCACAACTCGGATTTTGCAACAGGGGCAACCTGGAGGCCGGAGCCAGTGGGTGTGAAGCAAATGATAGCAGAGAACCAAAGCTTGAGGCGGCCCAAAGGTGCAGCGGGAGACATCCCACTCGCTGAGGTAAGACAAATTTCAGGGTCCGGCGGCGGCTAGCAAGGGCATGACGCTCCATGACGGGTGCCAAGTCTCAGCCCTTGTCGTAAGCCGACCGCTCACGGGACGCCAGATGATGGCATTGCGGAGACAAGGTCGTGACTATGTCGCGTTGGTCAAAACCAGGACCGAGGCATCCCCAATGACGAACGGAGACAGCCCCTTGGGGCCGAATCAGAGAGGTGCTGCCGTCACTATGTCAGCTGGAGGGAGGAAATTGAGATAGAGAAACAGAAACTGGTGTGCATGGGATAAAACAAGGGTCTTTGATTCTGCCGCGCTCCTATCCACAATGTGGAAGGGTGCGTCATTTTCTCCCGCTGCCTGTACTCGACGACTCAATGTCGTATCCAAAGCCATCCTATTCTGGCTTGTGCCCCATCTCCGGGTGGCACCTATGCGCGCGCGCTTCAAACTACTACTGTACAAAACGTCATTGTGCTCACCACCTGTGCCTCGACTCTATGTCGGGAAGGTGGTTGCTAAAAGAGAGTCTAAAATATTAAAGGGTATAAGCGAATGGTGATGACAACATGCTCCGTATCGACTACGGGTCGAAGCCCTGTCGAGCGATGTTGAAAGATTAAATAAGCAATTGTGGGCGGGTGAAAACCAGGCCCGGGTGAGACAAACGCGTAATGTTACATGGTGGGAAATCGCTCGGAAACGGAATACTCGTAATTCGGAACACCAGAACGCCGTGGTGGTCCCTCAATTCGATGAGCGGGCCAGGTGGTATCTCAGTAAAAACCGTGGTGTGCAGCGATGGGTAGAAGAGGAACAGCCGTCTCAGCTTGTTGTCGTTGGGTCTATAGTCGTGACTAAGAAACGCGCGACAGTGGTATCTCAAAATATGCGATGTACTGGAGACATGCGACAGGCCGGTTGGGACGTGGTCCGGACAAGCAAAGCACTAGACACAACTGGGGTGTTGATCTTCTAGTGATCGACACTTTCCGGTGAGGGATGATCGATACTGCCGTCGTTCTTGTGAACCTTTCGGTGCCTCCTGAGGTTCGAGACGACAGAGAAGTGCCGGCCGCAGCCATCAACTTCACACGCGAAGGCTGTTACAATGTTAGTGCTGGAAAATGTGGTGTGCGTGGAATGACTTACGCTTCTCGCCGGTATGGCTGTACATGTGTGTTTGTAGCGAACTTGGTCGTGTGAAACGCTTGTCGCAGATCTTGCACTTGTGCTTCTTTTGCGAGCTGGAAGACACCTTTGAGCTGAACTGGCTCATCATTGAAGCGGGCGCTGGAGGCATGTTTGCTCCTAGAAGCGCGTTGGGGCGGGGCAGAGTGCGCGAGTTGCTCAGGTCAACAGACTCGGAGGCAGAGCTGTAATCTGTCACAGAGCCATCACCACCGTAGTATCCGTTAGGGCCATAGCTGCCTGACGAGATTGACGAGTGTGTCGAGTGTGCTGAGGGGAAACCGTATGAATCGGTCGAGCTGCGGCTAGTTCCTTGAGAGCCATAGATATTCCTTGGGGTAATGTCTGACTGGCTCAGGGAGACCATACCACGGCTCGCGTCAAGCGCGTCGCTAAAGCTGTTGCGCGGTTGCTGTGTGTTCATTCTGCTAAAGTCAACAAGTGAACTTTGGCGTTGTCGTTGGGCCGCGCTTTCTACGGACTCGTAGAAGGCTATTGAGGGGACTGACGGGTGTGAAGAGCGGCGGGAAGCATCCTGTTGGTATGCGTACGGGCTCCGTTCTGTGTTGCCATATTCCACCTGAGAGTAGGGCGCTGAAGTTGGAGCATATGTTTGGTTTGGAGGTGACCCAGAAGTAGTATAACCGGTTGGGTACCGCGACATGAGATCTTCAGAGGCATCAAGTAAGTTTTGTGTTCCGAAAGTGCCATCCGGGAGAGTAATACCTTGTCCCATGGGAGGAGCTGTGACCGGCAGACCGTGGTACGGGATGGCAATGCTGGTAGGCCGCTGCGCGTCGACATTGGGTGCAACGGTGGTCTGGTACAGTTGCTGCTGCGAGGCACCAGTAGACACCCACGGGTTGGTGAAGTGTGGTTGTTGTTGAGGGTAGCGCATGTGTTCGTAACCCATGCTGCTTAGCTGGGGTTGCTGACGGTTATCGACTGCCATTGCCATTGCGTGTTCGGGACGAAAGGTAGTAAGGTGTACAGGTCCGGAGGGGAAGGTGGTACAAGAAGACGAATATGAGTGTGACAATAGACACTCAACTCGTGGATCCAGGTGTGAAACGTGATAGTTCGAGGGTTGAAAACGTGGAGATAGTCGATCACAGGTACTCAGCGGTGGGATCTGCGACCTTTTGAATTCACTCTGACACTGGGGACTCCCGTGCTGTGGTAGTCCAAGTCAAGTAAAGATAATCCCTTTGGTATGTCGATCAGTTGACCTGTACTAAGCAGGAGCCGTGGCGATGAACCAGCGAGATTAGGTGTAGGGCGAAAGCGGACACCAGTGACTGGGAGGCAGACGCTCGAGCGTTTCAAGTGAAGCACTGTGCTTGCAAGGAGCAGAATGCCCAGCGGGTGCAGGGGCGGACCGTGTGGGCTGGGTTGCGTGTTGCGTGTCGCCTTGGAAGGTTCGGTAACGTTATTCGCTACAAAAGCAAACCAGCGACAAAGAAGTAAGGATGTGAGGGTAACGATGATGAAAGCAGTATTGATAGTCTCTGGTACGAGTTATGGCAAGAGACAATCTAGGATTGAGTAAAGCTTAGAGGTTGGTGACTGTTGATCAGTGGGCATTTAGTCGGGGAACACTGATTGATAAATTCCGCTGCTTGGAGGGTTTACGTCTTTTGGGTTCACAGCACCTCCATCATAGGCTGGCAGCCAAGCATAGCGAGCAGGCAAGTTGGCTGAAGACCCCGGACGCACCTACGTCGGTGAAGACAAGGATCAAGTGCGCTAAAGCATCTCTCTGCACGCTGCTTTTAAGCGTGTGGGGAGCGTTATTCAATGGCCTGCCCACGGCCGATGTAGTATCCGCGCCATTGAGCACTGTGGGCTCAACAGCCTTCAGCTCCCGTTCATTGAAGCCAGCGTCTACCGCTTCTCCATTGCGCTATCATCGGCACCTTTCTCACCCGTGAGAAGCCAGTAGTGCGCCAGACAAGCCCTCGCCGCTAGGCAAGCCTCTCCTCT